GCTTTAATGGCGCAGTTAGTCGGGCCAGTATAGCTTTTATGGCGCAGTTAGTCGGGCCAGTTTAGCTTCACTATTACGTCCCAACAACGGACAAATAACTATCAAAAATCTGATCGATGCCGATTTATGAAAAGAGTCAGGTTCCTGAATCGGAAAAATCCAAATCCAGGTGACAGTTTACGTGTTATAGCTCGGAATCAAATTTTTGTTAACCTAAACTGGTTAAACCGAGAGTAATAATAAGATTTATAGGATGACTACCTGATGGATCTTTACTATGGTGGATAAAGGATAAATAATTATTCAGTCTCAGAGACATCTTCAATTAATGTTCTAGCAACATCTTTATACTTTGAATGGGAACATGTATTCGCGTATGATTTTTATATGCTTGAATTGTCCAAGTTTCATAGCCGACAAAAGGTATGGGCATCAACATGTAAGAGCAACTGCTTGAGAGCAACTGTTATGTAACTGTAGGAGCAACTGCTAGGTATCAAAAGGCAATGGCATATAAGGGCATCAATACAAATATGAAACAGTAATACAAATTCTTCGTTCATAACAAAAAAATAGTTTAATCAAATACCATAAACATTGATAGCGAATAATCCTCTCTTGTCCACCTGCAGCTCATCCTCCTGCTGTTGCTGTGCGCCATGGTCCTGGCCGCCTCAGGACCCGTCCCGTACTTCCACGCCAAACACAAAGCTCACCGACGCTTCTTTGGGTCCCGGGAGTCTCGTGGAAGAAGTGAAGTTCAGGAAGAAAGAAGTGCGGTAGATATGGATGCCGAATATGGTTTTCCACGGTTTCGTTCTGGCAACAGAATCGGCGGTTGAGGGCAGGATGGATTTAAGCAAGGCTTTTATTTACTGTTAATTTTATAACGACTTTTATAATAAAATTTTTTAATATTTTCTATGAAATTTTCGGTTCCTTTCATCAAATACAATTGAGATCAATCGGTACATTTATCGCGAGTGCTGATGCCTGCACTGTCGTGTGCGTGACAAGCAAGTCTTCCATATGAGAATTCGATACGTATATCATTATATAATATATCATAATTAATGATTAAATTAAAAAATATAACACACAGGTTTATAAATGAATAATTTCATACAATTGTATCATAGTTAAAGGCAGTAAAGCAAATTTGACTTAGAGAAAATGTATTGTATTAGTGCCTTTAACTTTGACTTGAAATTTGAAATCTTCAATTTGGATTCATAGAGCCGTGACGGTCTCATATCACTAAAATCAAGAGCCAACCAAAAATAAATGGCTGGACCGCGTCATGAGGCGTTATAATACAATAGCAAATCAAATAAGACGGAGCAGTTGGGTTGCCACCAGGCAATTGGTTTCATTATACAGAGCATTTAATCTTAAATCTCATTGGTATAGTTCACAAGCTGCGCGTCTATTTCAGCATTCATTCTTTCCACCTTACATTTATCTTAAACAAGCGCGTTGGTGATTTTCTTTTCCCAAAATTTGACGGCTTCCAAGTTTCGCCTCACCTCGAGACAATACTTTTGTAGCTCGTCAAAAGCGTTTCGTGCAATAGGATATTCGCCTTCAGGCCAAGCGTTTCGTTTTGCGGTTAAAGATTCCAGTCTTCCGCTCAAGTGAAGCGTCCATGCATGCTGCAAGAAACTAAAATTTTACAAAGCGATGTAAAGGATATTATACAAGCGATATACACAAGTGCGCCGAAATATACAAGTCACACAAGACCTAGATCGAATTGCAGAGAAATGTCAATAATCAGATAATAATTTCATAGGCGAAGTTTCAATCTAAAAAATCAAGTGACACAAAACAATCATGTTTTTTTTTAATCAAGTGACAAAAAACAGAATAATTGGTAAATCCATCAAGTTGAAATGTAAAGACTTAATTCTCGAAAAGCAAATGATTTAACTCCAGTAAATATTTAATTCCATCTCAGAAAATATTGAATTGTATCTCAGTAAATATTAAATTTACCTCCGAAAATATTGAATTTTATCTCCGAAAATATCGAATTTTATCGCAGTATATATTGAATTTTATCTCCGAAAATATTGAATTTCCTCTCAGTAAATATTGAATTTTACCTCAGAAAATACTGAATTTTATCTCAGTAAATATTGAATTTATCTCGGTAAATAATGAATTCAATCTTAGTAAATGACATTCAATCTTAGTATCAAGTGGTATGAATAATTTCGCACAATCGTATCGTATAGTTAAAGGTAGAGAAGCAAATTAAACTTTCAGAAAATTTATTGAATTTTTGACCAACGCCTGAATCGACTTATGCGGGCGCACCAAAGAGTCCTTATTATAACGTTCTCATAGTAATACAATAGATACACAATTCCTCATCTAACAAACAACCTTTATAGATTCCTGCATAGCATCGATTTTGTGATCTAAGTGATGAAGTTTTGTTGATACATTCAGTACTGCGCATCCAAGCTTCATCGTTGTTCTCCTCACGACTTCTGTCGCTCAGCATCGGAATTCGTCTGTGCGACGCGCAATATTTTTGAAAGACCGTTGGAAGGCCGTGTGTTTTTACGTAATAAATACGCTGCCGCACTGGTTTCTCTACCATTATTGAAGTGCTTTCTGACCAATGATTTTATAGGTTTATCTGTTTTGCAGTTTAAAAATTCTTTGGTTCGCTCCCAGTCACAATTAGTGACTCCTCTAAATGACTTCGCTTCATGTATAATTGTCGACTATGCTGTCTCGGCTACTATATATATAATCTTCCAATTTGCTCATTACTCCCAAAAGAAGAGACAAGTCCCTTCAGGCATTTCGATCCTAAATCTGAAGCTCCTGCAAGCATTGGATTCGCATCTGTTAAGATAGAAACTCTCATTTATATTTCTGGTTATATCGGATTGTCGATATGTCGGTAGTTGTTCGATTTATTCATCTTTCACGTGTAAAATGGGCACGTAATCTACTCTACCTAAATTCAACGCAACCATCGAGCAGACAACTTCATCACAACGCAACCTGCCTTACCAGTACATCATGCAGACAACTTCATCACAACGCAACCAGCCTTACCAGTACATCAAGCAGACAACTTCATCATGCAAGGGCGATATGCATTCTTAAAAGTGTTCACCGACGCCACATATTTGTAACTCCGTTGTATATCACCGAGGTCGCGTACTGCATGTTTTATTAGGCATAGGACGCATTATTGCAGAGCATCGTTGCGAGGCATGTCAGTGTTATGTGTCGCAATCGCACTATAATTAATTTATTTCCCCTCTCTGAAGTATAACTATTCACGCTGGTTTACTTTACTTGTACCCAAATTTCTGACTGGATCCACTTTGGATTAGTCGAAATTTGTCAATATTGGGAAAAGTATTGTAGGCCAAAATAGTTTTATGATGAGCTCAACAATTCTAAATAACTAGAGGAGAAAAAGTTAATGACTTTATTACATAATTACAATTCTGGCTGAGGCCCACGATAAATAATAATTTTTTTGCAAAATGACAAAAGCACCGAAAAATGTGATGCGATGCAGACACTCGTATGAGATACTTAAGAACTACATCCACAGCATGAAGATGTTCGATAGTTATAGCAGTTACATAGATATAGTATATAGATGTTCGTTATAGTAGTTCGTTATAGCAGTTAGCCAAACCAGCGTGGCGATTAACCCTTGAAGCAGCTTTTAACTTGACGGAGGAAATGAAAAGCGTCCTTCGTCCTCGTCTTTGACGTGGGCGAAGCGTTGATAGAGCAGAGGAATGGAATAGTTTAATTCTTATATTTTCGGGGTGTGTTCCAGTCAATAACTGAATGTTCAGAGACGTTGTTTAATTGAAAAGTCTAATGCTTGAAGAACAGGTAGCAATGATAATAAATGAATTGATGTTAAGAAAATCAACCATAGTACAATAATATATTTGGTTGCAGAAAATTTCCCACACTCCAGATTCTTGTGTCCGTCTACAGCTGAAATTACTATAGTAAAGTAAACAGATCAATCTTATAAGATATTGTGACGATAAATTCATATAACCAACACAATCATATTAACGTTTTGGTTGACTAGGAACGTTCTCGCTACAAATGCCGAACAGCTGCACGCAAGCGGTTGATCAACCGGTTGCGTGCATTGCAACCCTTTGTTAACGAGGTCCCCATAACCTATACAATTTTGTCCCAGTTCGTGGCAGCAGACAGTCACATAGCAATGAGAACCATCGCAGTGTACGGGTCTGATGGATTACATTTAACGGCACCTCCTACAGCGTCCACGCCTCCAACAATGACGTCGGGGACACTGTGGGCGGAAGGGACCAAAGGGACCGGGTCTACCAAACTGGGGCTCAGGGTTGGGGTCGGCGATGGGCTCGGCGGCGGTCAGGGCCATGGCGCTCAGGACCAGCAGGAAGACCAGCTGAAAGTGGGTGGGAGGGGCTTGAAGGTAAATATATACATCATTATATGATACTACGGAAAAGCTTCATAAATTACTACGTACTAAGTTTCCTTTGTATAATTCACGTATCTATTCCACATATTATGAACATATTTCCGCCCATTTGAGTCTAGAACTCAATTTAAATGTTCACTTTGTTCGCATTAATAACTAAAGCAATGAATAATAACAGGAATAATAATAAATAATAACAGAATAATAATAACAGAATACATGAATAATTGCGTTTGTTATACACTTATTGATTACAGTTAAATAACAAAAGGAAAACGATGCAAAACAATAACTAGCATCATTTTCCATCGATGCAAAATGGAAATTTGCATCAGTAACTATCCACCTTATTACAAATGTTACAAAATTTTGTATTAACACAGATCACTAAATTCAAAGTCTAATAGCGGTTCGGAATAGTAAACCGCGATAAAATAAATGATTAACTTTATTACAATGTCTTCAGAAAAAAATAAAAGACTTACCACCAGTCCTGTTCTCATTTTGTCCAGCGCGTTGAAGGATTTCGTAGGAGTCGTGGCAGAGCGACGATGAGCTGCAGATCCACTCTGAGAATCCACAAGCACGAATCTGGGAGAGAAACGCTTCACACTTCCCCTTTATATACCTTAATAATTTTAATATATTCTAATTAATAAGGGGAATTCTAGTGAACGACTAAGCCAAAAGCGTACAAATATATCGGAGACTTCCTGATGGAGTAACATAAAGAAGTTGCGCTCGATTGTTGAATCGACAAACTGCATTGACATATGGGTCATTAGGGTACGGATGCGAGCTCCAGAACAATCTTCCTGGAGTCACATTCGAAAACTAATTGGTGTGTCGTAATGTTTTCTCATTGATAAAGTTTTGATTGTAGGTTATGAGGACTTTACCTGAGCCACAATTCGAACAAAAACACGATATTCTGAAACAGAATACAACTACGTAAACATGAAGTTAATTAGTTCTCATGAGAAGTGTCATTTGTAGCAAAACAACGAAGAATACTTACATAAATTAATAACAATGTATACAGTTTTATTGTGCACTATTCTTCTATTTCAAATTGAATTATGCAGAACGCTCTGGCTCCGAACACTATACTCATAAGCCATTGAAAACAAATCCGGCAATGTGAATAGCCGAATATCCGTCGCAATTATCTTCACTATATTGACGAACATTTTCGTGGGTAGCATTTAAAACAAAAAGTTCCATTCATTCTATGATATTGAGTTTTCATTCGTTCAATATTATTATATTCATTAATTCATTCATTCATTCGAAGATATTGTTCAAGTTGTTGCTTAACTTTCATCTCTGGATTGCGAGATTATACATTAAATTCAACCAACTGTCCGAAATTTGGAGGTAGTAATAAAGTGATGGAACGACGATGAGGAACACTACCAGGCAGCACCACAGCAGCCGTGCATGGTTATCTTCTCGATAAATATTTCCGTAAGTTCTACTCAAGAATATTTATTATTCACTTCTTGATCGTGGGGTTTCTGCTGAAATCGCACATCTGATTTTTTTATATCTATATTTTTTGTCAGTGACTTACATTGCAAGTACTCGATTTTACTAATTTTAATTTGTTATTTGTTACGGTAAATAATTTCTATTAAATAATAAAGCCTGAGGTTGTCACTTCTATCACTGTAACAAATCTGGGCACCCGGCTATCGTCATGTGCCTCTGCATTAATTGAAGGTAACATCTTTTACACTGTCATATTCTACTCCAGTCACCATCAGAAATTGTATATTAGAGTGATAATTACTCGTCTTATAAATTATTCCGTTGATTTCCTAATAGTAATCAAGTATAAACGAAGAGCTCAAAGCTCGTGCACTCAGTACGGCAGAACATTGTTACATCGCTCGTGTTGTTTCTAGTAGTCTCGCAAGAATTACTTCGCTACACTAAATATGAAGAACAAACTTGCGGTCAGTTCTACGTTGAGACGATGCGATATCTCTTCTGAAATATACCGTTTCATTTCATGTCCTAATAAAGGAAAATTCTTTGGAAATTAATATATAGATCCGTTAGTTCTTTTAATATATTTTCAGATCTTTATACTAGATTAGTTTTGATATAGAAACTATAAGTGAAGATAATGTTTATAGAAGCAAAAACAAAGAATTTGTGCATGATATCAAATGACATTCATATTGAACGATATTAAAAATAATATCCCTTTTCAACCTAAAATTACCTGAAAGAAATAACTTCCAAAATTAAATTATCTATAGAGAAAACAAATCAAAAACCAACACGCGAAGCTCTTCGATCATTTCATGCCACTGCTTACGGCTTGTGCTGCCGCTATGCAGGAAGAATGGCAATCAATGACTCGACCTCAGTTCAGGCTGCTTCACTTCTGCTGCGTTTAGATGGGTGTTCATGAAAACAAAAGGCTTACAAATTCATTCATTCTTATTTATTATGAAACTAATTTCTGAGAATTAAAAAAATATATTCAGTTATCAAAATGAAATGACTTGTTTAAGAGCTGGAGCTGCTCTTGCTAACCTACAGCTGGTGGTGCTGCTGGTGCTGAGCGCCGTGGCTCTGGCGATCCGCCGGGCCCATCGCCTACGCCGACCCTGAGCCTCACCATGGATACGGCTACGGTGGTGGATATGGGGGAGGTTATGGAGGATATGGTGGATACGGAGGATACGGTGGATACGGCGGTTACGGTGGATATGGAGGCTACGGTGGATATGGAAAAGGCTACGGAGGATATGGATTCAATATTTACGGTATAGCCGGTGGATATGGAGGCATAAGGCCACCGTTCCTACCGGGTATCGTCTTTTGATGAGAACATCTTGAATATAGGTGAGGTTTCATCTACATTTAATCTCTAACTCAATGATTTCTTTAATATGCTGTACAATATTAAAACGACAGCATTCACATATTGAAATTGAACGCTGGAAAGCGAAAATGAACGCTGAATTGGTAAGCAATAAGTAGCCATGTATATCATAAAGACGCTTACTGTGATGCCTTTAATATACTTTTGCCACTTAGCCTAATTAACTTCATTAATATATGTAGCATATACTCCATTGTTGGGCCAGCGCTGAAGATTAGGCCACTTCTGGCCTGTCGCCGATACCTGCGATGTTCTTAAGTCGATTCCTGGATGTAGAAAAACTTAATTTTTGATCATAAATAATTGAAGCGTAAGTGCTCCTGGTCTTTAGAGGAAGGTGGGGCGCACACCTGTTACAATTCATTTTAATTTAATTTTTTTCTTTCTAGGTGCGATTCATAAGGGGAACTGAAATTACCGCCACAGTGAGACTCATTACTAACGCAGGAAATTACGTTCTGCTTCATTTTACAACACTTCTCTTTAATTTCACTTCTTGTCTGCTACAAATATTATAATCAATATTTGACAAACTTCTACCTGTAAAATCGATCAGAAAAATTTTCTCACTTGCGTAAAGTCGGAGACAATGCATAAAACAATTGACAGAATAAATAGTTTTTGAAATTTATCTTTTATATATAAAAATTTTTTAAATTAATTTTTTTAATATTTCAAAATGAAATTAGAAATTCATTTTACATGTGTAACATCGGAGTCACTTAATTCTTTAGAAGTGTTGTTTATAAAAATTAATTTTTAAACGCATATTATTTCATCCTTTTCCTACTCCTACTAGAAAAGGAGCATAGACACTAATTTTTTTGTAAAATCTCTGATTAAATTCATACTCCAAATTGATCAGATATATATCTAACGATCCCAATTACAATTTCGAAACATTTTTCCAAAATTTTTGGGAATGCAGAGAACAATAACTGTTAGCTACAACGTGACGACTAAGATTAACTTCAAAAGATCTCCTGATAAAACATCTGATGGATATATGCTCAAATTTATGCTAGTAACGAAGGATTATTAATTTACCAAAGCTCTTAATCGGCTTCATAATATGAATTTCATTTACGGCACAAAAATTGCCTATTAAGGTCTTAGAAGACAACTCCAAACTGAGGAACTATAATGAACAAAAAACAAACCCATGTACTCGATTGATTTTTAAGCTTTAATATAAAGTATGGCCACCGTACGATGGGTATGAAAGTAGAGGGTGAGGTATCCAGTAGCCTGCTAATATCCTCGACATCAATGTTGGCTTGTCCCTGATTTTAGCTACGCTATTATTTTCTCTTTCTCTCTTCTCTTTTTCTCTATTATTTTCTCTCTACGCTATTGTGTGGCAGTTTAAAAAAAACTAAAGATTACGCTATGTTAAAGCTTAAAATAAAATGTATAAAAAAAATTTTTATAGACCACGTTTTTCATGTGGACTCAAAAGTAGAAAATAATTTTTCGGCAGCTACTGATCTCTGTTTGCTTTCATTCTCTTGGTCTTTTGTATTTCAGTTAAAATATTTTACAACATCTAAAACGAAAAACGTGGGGCGTGTATCATCGATATACGCAGTCTAAACACGAATATCCTCTCGAGGATGACGTGCATTAAAGGTTCCAACCCATGCTTGTGAGTTCCTTTAGAGTTTATACGCCTGGAAAACTGCAACAAATTTTTGATTATTGTATTGTTATCGGGAGCTGAGCTTCCCTAAAAGATTCAGAGCGCTAGCTAATGGGAAAGTTGGTGAAATATCGATTGCAAGATTTGATCATCACAGACACGAAAGCGAGCTAAGAAAAACGTGGTAAATAAAAATTACAGTTCCTTTATGTTAAAGCTTAAAAAAATTACAGCTTACTTTATGTTAAAGCTTAAAAAATTACAGCTTACTTAATGTTACATCTTAAAAAAACTACAGCTTACTTTATGTTAAAGCTTAAAAAAATTGCAGCTTACTTTATGTTACAGCTTAAAAAAATTACAGCTTACTTTATGTTACAGTTTAAAAAAACTATAGCTTACTTTCTTTGTGTTAAAGCTTAAAAAAATTACAGCTTGATTTATGTTACAGCTATTGATCGGTTTGTTATTTGTTCATTATTATTGCTCATTGGCTGTCGCACGATCGACCACTAATATCTATAGGCGTACACCGAACGTTCGTAAACACAAGTGGACATTAGAAATGCCCATTTATTAGGAAATTCATTTTTGTCTTGCTCTTCAACCACGACATTTGTAAAGCAACCCATACAACGCCATTGCGATACTTTGTATTTAGATCGAAAATAAGTAGCAAATATTTGTGACAACTTTATATTATGCTTGACATGAGAGCCCTTATCACTGAAGACTCGAAATTAGAATAATGCATGGTTGTTTCATTTTAGAAATTTTCCCACAAGTCCGGGCTGTTAAAAAAAATCGTCTCTGATATGAGCCAAATCACAGCGAAGTTCGTTTCACACATGAAAAAGTTGGTCTTAAAATATTAGCAAAATATACTTAGGCTACTTTTGTTGTCAACTTAACTTTTTCAAGATCAACTTTGCTTTAATGATCAACTACAGAATTCTGTAATTATGTAGTTATTGAATCATTGAACTACCTACAGTAATTTCTGAAGTCGTTAACGAACAATTAAATAATAACACAGTAAACT